GTCTTCCAGGTGTGCACAGACAGGCGGCCAGGGGTAGCCCCAGAGCGGGGCCCAAGCGGGGCCCCGAGCCGCGTCAGCCGGAAGAGTGGGAAGCAGGCAGGTATCGCCCAGGCGTGCTTCGCTCCCCACCTCCTGGGAATGAGGGGCTGTGGGGACCCTTTGGCTTGTGCCTTTATTTCTTGGTGGCTTGGGACTTCGTCAAGGTGAGACTCCTATGGGCAAGGCAACTGCTTGAGTCTTAACACTGTCTGATGTGTTTGTCGAACAGACCTGCTGCGGGCTGCCTTTCTGCATTGCTTATTTGGGTACCAGCGTGTATGGAAGAAGGTTGGAGTTTTGATGTGCCCGGTTCAACCCTTCTGCAAAGTGGAAAACGGCCTCCATAGCATGGAGGGAGCCAATGCATCGTTTACTTGCTGCAAGATAGGCTAGCTTTGCCCCCTCACACGATGTCTGTACCTCTGTCCGGTCTTGTGGGTGGTCCAAACACCTGCTATGTTCACCTCTTGAGATTCATTTCTTCTAGGTGAAGCCCTGCCTCTTCCTAACACATCATCTAGCACGCATATGACCTTGAGGGTGAAGGAGGACAGGACTCATTGACCTGGCGGTGGGAATGGGTTTACCAGCCATCAGAAAGCCAGTCACCAGGATTTGTTTGAAAGAGGGAGACTCAGGCGGGATCCCCTTTGACGAGGACAGAGGAGGGCAGCGGTTCTCCGCACTCATTTCAAAGTGGTGAGGGTGGCCGTCTTTTCTGTGTTCTCAAAATGACTGATTCTGCCCTTCTCTAAAACCCGATGGAAATGGGGTCTCAAGGAAGAATCAGAGCTGACTTCTTTTGCCTTCGGGAAAAACGTTAACAGAGCCCAGTGTATCAGTTCACATACGCAGGAATAAATCACAGTTCAGTAGCATTAATTCTGCATTCCGTGCAGACAAGGACAACCACCTCATCCTCATTTGCCCGAGGCTGTCCCAGTTTTAACATCCTGGGGACCCTTCAGCCCCCGGCACCTTGGGACCGTTGGTTACTCTAGATGAGAACTTTGCAAGGTAGATTATAGATACTGAATGGAACTCCTGACATAAGCCTTCTTGCTGGAAACGATCACCACCCCCCCCCC